ACATTGATTTGACCTATTTAATGTAAAATAAACGATCCCGTTCCCCTTGCAACCTGTCCACATTTATATACCTATAGGCAAACCCATATGTTTAGCTGGCAGACGCGGCAGTAAGGTTTCATGGATTGTTAGGCCTGACGAGACCTATTTCTCCTACAAGGTTAACAAAATGTTTGAGCAACAGCCGCAAGGCGTAAACCGTAAAGCGGGTCTTGGCACTTTCAGCTGATCTTTTAGACACTTATTTCTACCCGTAACATTTTGACGATCAGTATGCATAATCAATGTTTTAAAAGCAACTGTAACAACGTTTCAGGGTAAGCTATATGCCTTTATGCGGTCCTTTCTTAGATACGGTGCAGTTTCAAACCCCAAAACATAAAAGAGGCAAGACATTTAACTTTATCGTTACCTGTTGGCCCGAGTGTCGTAAAACCGCAATTGTGACCACTTTCAGGCAAAAATCATTGTATCAATTGAAAGGCTGAGTGAAAATATTGAGTGCATCGTCTTACATTACCTCAAGCTTGTCATCGTAACAGCTCATCAACTAATGGAGGCAGGAACCTAACAGTGTTCCGAGTGGTGACGATGTTGCACATGTTCAGATTTAAGCATGTACGATTTAGGTTTAGCCACGTCTAGGTTCTATCCTTGCTTTGAACCTTAATCACCCAAGTTTGCGCTGCAAGTTGACTTGACAAAGACCTGACGCTGCAATAATTCCTCGGTGACTATTGACACGGGAGGGTCAAATCCAATAAAGGTGTCATAAAGTATAATTCAGGCAACGAATCTGAGGAGTAACGGGTGTTATAACGACGCCCCACGGGACCAATTACTCCGACTCTAATCAATCATGTCGGGGAGGAATTCATCTTCAATCCTAGAGCGGCTGTAGAACACTGACAGGTAAGGATCGGGCTGCATGTTGATGACGAGGGATCCTCCTTACAGTAAGCTTGGCATTAAGCTGGATTTCATGTAGATGCCAACTGTCCATGAATAATGCGATATAACTTATAAGTAGGACTTAGCGTTGAGTGTAGCATTGGACTGCAGTCTTCTTCCATAATTGTACATAAACTTTTACGAGTTTTTTTACGATCTTTTTTTACGTATTTCCTGAGTGAGCATGGAAATCGAATGTATTTCTGCTGCGGGCAAACAAGTCGTCTATTATTCAGAATAACGCCAAAGTAAGTAAAACGCAAAATTCAATGCTTACACATATGTACAGTGACAGACTTTCATAAATCCATGCTCTATTTTAGCACAGGTTATTTTTTAATCAAAATATTTGATTTACTCTAACAAATCAGCCTTGACATTCCGAACGAGGAAACGTCCTTGGCAGTGACTGAGTTTAGAATATTTGCCTTTAATCGTATGAGCTGTACGGACGCACCCACAGCTAATCATCTTCAATTAGCGGCTGATGATTGTGATCTTTTCTAACAGAATAATAATTCCTACTTACCATAATTGGAAACCTCGGGCGGCGTCTCGTCTTGCTCCAGCTTTAAAACACGTTATTCTAACGCAAGAATGCAGTTCATTAAGAACTTGGCAGACGATCAAATAGAAGTAGGGGTTTCTGATGGTACCCTAACAACCACCGAGCGGTGAAGGATATGATGTTATCTTATAGTATGCTCAATGAAATGTTAAAGAAAGGGGAGCAGTTTCTTGTTATCTATCTACATAATCTTCGTCCTTTTGCACAACGACCGTCGGAAATGCGTAACATTGGTTTAAGCATTGCTGTGGCCAATATCAAATCTAATATAACATATATAAGGCCCTGCAATGAAGGGAATAGTTACTTAATTATAGTTACAATTAAGCCCGTTACGACAATACACTGACATAAGCAATACAATACAATACACGATATAGTGATAGTTCTATAACTATTCATAAACATTGGAGCAATATTTCGTACAACAAGTTGGAATAGTTGGAAGGTTTTTTTAGTTAACTGAACATCAGGGCATAAGGATGTACTGCAGTAATTGTAACTCCTTCCGGCACGTTTCTGAATACTCTTTCAGTTAAAGGCTCCCAGCAGGACGACAATGAAGCGAACGGCGTCGTGTTAAAGCCGGTATAAATCAGCCGCAGGACGGACGTGGCTCCTGGCCAAGCCGCGGTGGGGAGATATCCCAGTCACTGCTGATGAGAGGTTCAGGGATGGAGGGTAGAAGGTTCGGTACTTCCTGGTGGACAACTTGAGAACGTGAGAGGAAGAAACATCGGTGTTGGTTCCTAAAGGATCGGGCTAATCTGAAGATATTGGGCTATGGAGGCCGAAGTAGCTGGAGAAGAACTGTTAAAGATGAATAGACCAGTGCGAAAAGTCGTTTGAAATACACGCGAATGTACTCTGTTACGTTATGTTATGCTATCATGTGTCATTATGTAATGCTATGTTACGGTATGCTATGTTGGTATGCTCTAACTTCCCTTAAACGCATCTGCAAATACAAAGGACTAGACGTAAAGATGCAAAGTGGAGGCAATGGTACGTTTTAAGAAGTCCTGAACACGCACTATTCCAACCGCCACATTCTAACTAGACAATGATGAATGAGACGATCTGGATGACAGATGATGAGAACAAACTTTCCAGCCTGATCTCCTGTGTGTCCTCAACACATCTGTATCCTGGTCTTTAATATCGTTATCCCCAGGCAGTGATTGTTAGCGTAATGGATGGGCTGGAGCACCACAAATATCGATTCTACATTGCGATAATCCATTTGCAAAACCATCATAATCCTGGCCTAGCCTGGTGGCAAACTTGTGACAATGATGTACAAGTGGTTAGAATGCCCCAGGGGTGCATCCAAGTGGAACTTGAAGAATGACTTCTTATACAGCGGGTCTTCCAAGGACAAACGTGTTTCTCTTAACGAGAATAGTCTACCGACTACAGAATACAGTACGGTCTCTAAATGTCGTCTCACGTTAGCATGACACTTTATCTGGGAATTAAACCGTTCTCCAACTCAAAAAGAATTTGAATTATTGGCAGTTTGGAACGAATCTCTCGGGTTTCCTCAGCTGTAGATACCGGAATTTTTTGACCGAATCTATCCCAGAAACATGTGAGTCAAATTGTTCTTGAGTTGGAGAATAGTTTAATATTCTTTACGTCGTTTCCTGCCCCATGATTCCAACTTTTAGCTGTCCTACAGGAGCTGTAATAGTCATTTTCCTGTCTGCAGTGCCTATCTGACGTGCTACAATACTGTGCAGATGTGTCTGGTTCAGCGTGAATGTCTTTTTGAAGACCTCCAAACCGCTCCTCTGGCCACACATGGTGAAAGGTAATAGTTTGACGGTGATTTTACGTCTGCAAACCGTGTTAGAGATCTGCATAACAGCGCACTCATCTACATCTTCCCATCTGTCTTTCTATCTGTTATCGCCTTTATCACAATGTATTGCAAGGTGGTGTCAAATTTACAAGTAAACAGAGGCGGCCGTTGGAAAACGAGTAGGTTCGAATGGCTCTTTATTTACTCGCATATAAAAATATGATTCTCAATCATATGTTAAACACAGAACAGCTATTGTCTATTCCAATTTACCGTAGTTATTATTTTCCATACTGGACAAAGAGTTATGATAACATTGCGTACATCGCTCAGGTAGTGACTGTGGTATTGTTTATCAATACGAAGCAATAATCCATTCATAAATGTACACAATAAGCACGCCATGGGTACGATATTCTCTCCTAACTACTCATTATGTAAATCTTGCCGTAAAAATGACGACATACACAGTATTTATTGATCTGAGTAGTGATATAAGACCTATATGTTATTTTACAATTGTACACGATATAGTTTGTTGACGTCAAAGTAAGAATCCAACCTTACCACAAAAACTTATAAGTACATCAGGAGACAGACTGAAATGCAGAAAGGTTGTCCCCATCACCGCTGATCGCTGATAGAGTAGTACGTACATGTATTTGTATAGCATTGTCCATGGTATAGAAGAAGTCCCATGGTATAACACACCCGATAGCCAATAAGTATTATATGCAGTATGCTACAGTCCTGCTGCAGCCGTTGGACTACGGTTAGTCCAAACACAATTTGATTCCATTTCAAACCCATTCTCCTGTAATTCCCCCGGCGACCATCAGCCCCTCTGACCAGGCATCTCATCAGCGATACCGTCCCTGTCCGCCCCAAAATAATCTCAGCAAATCCCAACCTTAATGAAATCTGCCCCAACATGTACCCTGGATGGGCTCGCTGGGACGGCGGCAGCGCCTCCGCTATTTACAGCCGTAAACGTTTTAAATTTGTCTGGGATAAGTAGAATTTATCTGGTAATTCCAGGCTTTGCCTAGAATCAATCATGGCCACGTTGGACAAATTGCACGTCGCCTTTCACCCGGAGCCCTACCGCGGGACCCGGGCCTTGTTATACAGCCAGCGTACACGGAGATTGGTCTTAATGCTGTTATAGATGGAGGCCAGCTTAAGTGAATAAATTACGTATCCTCCTGGTCAGATAGTCTACACAGTAGATGACGGCAGCGCTGTTTACAATGGGCATAGATTGTGAGGTAATAATAATAAAACCATAAAAAGGAATACGTTGGCTACAATGATGTGTGTAATCAGTGATATGGAACAGAAATCAGGCATAATATGGTAGTTTTAGGCTTCAGAAGCTCTTTGTCATAACATACAGAACATCAATGAAAAGTGTAGATCGAGTTTACATCGAACAAAACATGTTTAAGGCTAGTACATGTACAACTCGCATATTTTGTGCATATCGTCTAAAACCACTCCCTATAAAGTATGAGAATGTTTCATGAACTATCATCTTTTGTACAGGTATCGCACAGAATTTACACATATTTTGCAATGTAATAGGTGGATGGGATGGACTTCGTCATTGGAGCTAATGATCTTCGTCATTGTAGCGCCTGATGAAGCTTCACGGCATCACGACAATGTGTCCGGACAGCTCCTAACATCAACAGTCATCACAGCGAGTTGAAGGGTGGGCTGGCGTCATGGAGAGCACGTTCTCAAATCGACGGAAGTTGGTACAAATCACATCACAGAGCGGCGACCATATTCCAGTCACGATGCTAACGTTGGCTTCATTGTTTAGAATACAGAGCTATGACATCCATGTAATACTGAGTGCTTGTCCGTACGTTGTCAGGATTGTCAATCTGCAAAAGAAATGCAAGAAATGTCATGACGAATAAGACACCATTTCCCGTAACCTAAATACAAAATGATGCTACCGAGTATAGATAAGGTATCAAAAGGCTCGAAGACTTTAATTGCGTTAGCTCGAATGCAACCAACATACCTCGCACCTATGTGGACTGTAACGAATGCGATAAAAATAAATGAACTTATGATTCCTCCGTAACAAAAGTTGCTGAAAGGATCCTTTGGTGCTATGTAGGTGGCGTTTCTCTACCGTAAAGCTGCAGGGTGTACAAAAGGTACATGTAGTAAAACATCCAATCATACAATACAACATGATCTACCATATGAGGAAATGACTCTGAAACAACGGTTCCTAAATCACATATTTATCAGTGGAAAAGTGCAACCACGTCTATTCTAAGAAGTGAACTTTTTCACATATTTAACAGTATTACGTTTAAGTAAATACATTGTGGGTAAATCAATTGCAAGTCAATAAATCAATACGTCAATCAGCTCAACAACTAATCAGTTCCTTTATCTTCATAATGAAAGTACTTACCCTTACCTCAACAACAAAAAGCTCGAGTCCTGGTCTCCGGGAATACGAGTGAATAATCCAGGCTATGGCGACAACAACTATCACCACGGCCACCAGTATGCATATCACAACCTCGATCTCTAGTGTCTGAGGGATACCATAAGAAGTCCTCTCCTGATCTCGGTTGTCTAAAGTATCAGGGACTCGGTGATCGGTCCCTACGCCAGGGTCGTCGTTGGTGACCTGCCAGACGTTGATTCGCTGCCTGGAATTTGACGTTGTTTCCGGGAAGTTGATGGATTTGTCGTCGCGAACGTTCGTGAAACGCGACTCGGCCGTCGTCGGGAACCGACGAAACACGAGCGAGGGACGAGTGGGCTTGGCTCGGGTAGTCACTGACGTGGAAGGCACTTCCAGCAAAGGCACGTTCCCTGTTCTACACCTCACATAGCCGGCCTGGATGTTTGAAACAATTCAGTACAGTGTAAATGTCCTGTAATATACATGTAACGTTATTCTCCCAAACTTAAGTTCAAACAGATTCACACTGGGTGCGCCTACGGCGTAACACTTTATCCTAAAGGATGTGGTATACTGCAATATGTGACATTTGTGAATTGTACTAAACTTGTGAATATTCCCATAAATTGCCCAGGACATACCTGCTTATCACACCCAGCATCAACCCACTGTTGCCTGCTCCGATCGTAGCCATCAGAACATCTGAAGTAGCGACATCAAAAGTCATAAAAACATAATGATGTTTATCTTTATTTATACTTCGTGACTATCAAATGAATCGGGTCTCGGAGCATCCTGAGTCTATGGTTTGTGATTTGATGCTACATGTTTTATTCCTTGAGGACTCAGCCATTTTCCTGATAAATGTCCCATTTACTTCAAATAGATTGTAAAAAATCGTACCTGTTAAGTGATGGACACCAACGACAGTTGAAGCCAGTTTTGGACCTGAGGCAGCTGTTACAGTCTCCAAACTGCCCACATGCTGGAAGTGAACCCACAACTCGCTGTTACTAATACTCTAATACTAATCAGTTGTCTTGTATTTTGTTACTCATTGCTGAAAACAAAGATTATCTATGAGATTGTCTTGTCAAATTGGCGATGGAAGGCGTATGAGGAATCGGTTCTACAAGGACAGATGATGGCAGGAAACACTTACTCGGTAGCGGAGACAGAACGATAGCCGACCCTGTTGCCACCCTGCCCTTCTCCAGCTCTATCGTGTGGTACTCGTAGATTGTCGACGTCTTTCGATTAATGTCTGCAACGTAAGAGTGGACACGTTTTTAACTTTAACCCTTCATACATAGTTTTAGACATATCTATAGTTTTAGACAATTACCTTGTGTTATTATGTACATTTTGAAGTTATTTTGTACCCTGTTTCAATGATATTTATCTTTGTTATTTGCAATTAGCCTTCGGGCAGGAATTTGCAATAAACTTATCATTAACCAGAATCAACCCCTGTCTTTCAAAATACTTGTATTTTGCCGTTCTCTATGTCGTTTTCCCTGATATTCATACGAAACAAACTATGAGATAATATGAATGGCAATTATATTATTACCTGAGAAGGGCACCAGCAGTGCTTCCACCGTGTAGGCGTCAGATATGCCGACTCTGACGGGGTGTGAGGAGTCGTCTATACTCGTCACCGGCTTCGGGATCTGGCGGAACAAATTACAGTCACGCCTTGTGGGCGATATCAAGGCTACACATCAACCCAGGCAGCGGTGTGTGAATGCACTTCACATCACAATTTTAAGATAACCACAGAAATAACCACAATGCTAACAGAGATGTTAACAGAGGTCTGTTCTTCGTAGCGCGAAGCATATTATTGTGATAAGAATGTCTCTACAGCCTGGTAATCTGATGATGATGATGATGAAGATGAAGAGTTAGAGTTGGTCCATGGTTCGTGTCCGTTCGTTTTGGTCATTTCTGATTTCTGTTAATCTTCGTTTGAACAATTGCTGACCTCACGTACGTATCCGTAAAGTCTCGTGTGAATATGGACACGTGTCTGTAACCGTAAGGCTCTCGCGAGATTACGTTTCGAAATGATTGGTTATCCTGATGAAGGCGACAGTGGTCGTTACAAACTTGACCTTAATTCTTGTGTTGGAATAAAGATCAAAATTTTACTATGATTACTACCAACACAGGTGAAATTTCATGGTGACTTCTGTTCATATTGTAGCTGTTGCCGAAGCACCCCTACACTCCCATCCTCTGTTCGGCGGTCAAGGTTGGCGGTAAACTAACAACCAAAAGGTCGTTTCCCCCGACATTCAAAGGTCGCCTAGGGCAATCCATGTGGCTGATTTCCTTTACTGCCAAGGCCTTACAGCCAAGATTAGATCTCAATTACTCAAGAATCCTTTTCACGGGGTAGGCCACAAGTCCAGAGGGCACAAAGAATGGGTGGTTGTGGGCGTTATCTAAACGGGCAAAACATTAGAACACCCACGGGAACTGAATTTATAACATGAAGTAATATTGGGAAGCCATGTTTCAAACATTTTATGATTACAAACTACTGAAGGCTCCTTTGAAGACCAGATCAATGTCTTTTCATGATCTTCATGTCTTCAACCACAGGAATAATAACTAACAAAAATGTCAAGGTGATTGTGGATCCCAGTAAAGTCGCCCAAACACTTGGTGGTTTAAATACCTATTGCGTCCTATCTTACAACATATGAAACATTTCAATAGGCTTTGTTACCAACCATAACATTTTTATGGGTTCACCACACCACGAAGTGGTGTGGTGAAACCATATTGCTTTTTCTGGTGTTTCTTCTCCTTCTCCTTCTCCTTCTTCTTCTCCTGCCATTTTTTAAATGGATTCAGCTTCTTCATTTTAGGGCCTAAGGTCCTGAAATTTGGTATGGAGGTACAGTGGGCAAATACCCCTAGGCGTTTTTTAAATTTTTGTGATACAGGCTTTTAGAATGGTTTTATTTGAGTTTTTTGGCTGTGTTATAGCTAATGTATTACTGTGTTAGTGTGCCATGTTTACCACGTTTGGGTATGAGTCATCACAATGGAATGCAGGGCATCAACCAATAGGCATGCAGCTTTCCTCTATACTTCTTGCTGATTGGCTGTTGGGATTTAACTTGATTAACAACTGCACAGTGCATTTCCACCTGCACAGAGCATTTCTTGCTGATTGGCTGTTGGGATTTAACTTGATTAACACCTGCCGCAGGGCATTTCCATACTGACAGTATGTCTGTATTCAAGTGTTTTGGTAGGTATTTCAAGCTTTCCTGCTCCAGCATTGGAATGCGGGGCATGAACGTTATTTTTATTTTGAAAATCAACAGTTTGCATTATGCAATTAAAAATCCTAACCAATAAAGTAGGGAATAGCTATCCAACTGTTGTTTTAGTCGTATGTTAGTTCATATTATAGTTATATCAATGTAAATCATTGTTTTCCCTTGTGTTTCTCATTCTTTCCCTGCCATGTCGTAAAATGTGGTGAACCCATCGCTGTATTTGCTCCAAAGCAAATATTGGCCTTTCTAGTTTGTTATTGCTGTTGAACCTTTGTAACCAACCTTCTTGTAGACGAATATAATCCGGCCATCTCGTGACAGTGTGACTTGGAAAGTAAACGTCTGTCCTAAAAGTGATGAGAAAGAAAGTCTACTTAAAATAATTACTTTAGATTAATTAGCAATATTATCATATTGATAATTCCTAAAGGTTTAAATGCTAGTATTGCTTGCTTTAAATACTCTTAAGTACACCCTTCAAAAATGTACATTAATGTAAATCCGGTTCTGATATTTCACCTAACGGTGGTAATTAAATTATATTAATATAAAATAATATTTACCTTCCGTGTCGTCACGTAGTCTCAGTCTTCCCCACTCAACACTTAGAGCACTTCCTATGAAAACAGCACAATTGTAAATTATTTGTTACAAGAGATGACAACTGTCCCTTGGATACCACTTAATTATTCAAACCTCTGTTCCGCACAAAGCCCATGTCTAGACATTGTCAGGGGACCCATGTTACACACACGTACAGCGAAAAGTGAATGATTAATTCTCAAGTATTCTGAAGTAGAATGATATTAACTTCGGTGATTGACAAATCGTTTTCCACAATGATTAACACGGGACACTTCATTATCAAATAAGCTTTCTCCTGAATGCTGAAACGGAATTAAGGCAGTTGCCAGACAAAAGCGACTCAAAATTTAATAGTCTTACAGGAATACTAATTACGCTGCTCAAAATATTGGGTACATCTTGCCAAACATTAATTACATTCCACAGAAAACTAATCAAGTTCATATAACGATGATAACAAAACTAATTTACTGGTACGCGGTAAATTAATCACGAAGAAGGAAAACAAGTTTTTCTCCTGCTGATAAAACGGAGATGACGCGCTCGTAAACCAACCAATAACCACCAGAGGAAATCTAATTACAACTCAGGAAAGTAGTTCATGCAGCAGAAAAATCTCAGCCGAGTCATATCATCAAGAAACATGATTAGTCTGTAGCTAATAAAATTAAATGTAACATCCAGATGTCAGATTCTGTAGAACTCAACATAGCAATCAGACACTTGTAAGGGCCATAAAGTCTAGGATTCGTTAAGCCATATGTTCCTGGTTGCAAATTAATGACACTACGAAAACTTTTTGTCATAACCACCGCCATCTCGATAAGTGTCCTGAAAACTAAGATCCGTTAACTTGTGTACCGTCAGTTGCACACTATTCAGCTCATCCCTATATAAATTTTAGAGAATCTACTAGTTTATTCGTTAATAACTTCCCATGTTTCAAACAAATGACAGCTCTTACCGTTATCACGATACCTGACTACAGACATGGGGTCCAGCCCTGGGTCGAAGTTCGCCATGAGAGGAGCGATGTACTGTGTGGAGGCCAGGGAGTGGCTCAAGGCAGAACCAATGGACATGAAACCTGTAACATTAGAATATATTTTCAACATATTTGCTCTAGAAGAATACATTTCTACCCGTTTTTGCTCGAAAAATGGTAATTAGGCTTGCGAAGCAAATGTTCTTAGTTGCAATGAGACCGTGCAATGTTCTGTACCAGCTGTACTGCCGAAAATTGATGTGCCTGCTAATACAGACATACCTAGGCTAAGACTAATGCAATGAAAATTGGATATTATTTTACATTATCCTTCAATATACTACATTTTCCATTTTCCAATTTATAGTCGTATGAAGGGCATAAAAACGATATTACACTGTTATAGCTATAACGTAATTATGATTCTGGAAGAACGATGACGTTACGTCTACGTTTATAAATTGAATAACCTTCTATCTTAAAGTACTATTAACGATCTTAGACAGATTTCATGTATACTTTAGTGGTGTTTCCTCCTCTTTTCTATCACGCAATTAGCCGATGTATATTTTAAAAGCTGTCTATGCGTTCCAATGGAGATCATAATTTCTTACCTGACAATATATCTGTACATTTATCTTCTGTAAAGGTACATGAAGCATTGACTTTACCTTTGACCGCTATGGTTATGTTCCTTATCGGACTGCCATAGAAAGGGAAGTCAAACGATAGACGAACATTCTGAAATGCAAGATATCAGTACAGGGTTCAAAATAAGCCCCTACGCCGAAAAAGAGAAAATCTTGAGAAAGATAAATAGAAAAAAATCTAGTTTTCTTTGGCTTATGTAAGTCACAAAATTCACTTTTAGAATTGTGTTAGATTTTCCTGATTTCGCTTTTGTTCGTTCAGTGGCATTTTATGTACATAAAGCAAAGGTACTGCTTAATCTAAGTGAGACCTACTTTGGTGTTCATGTTTCTTCCCGGCAGCCCGTTGGCGATGGTGTGTCCATTTCTTTCGCCATCGACGTCTACCCAGAATCCTCTGCCCGGCGGATAGTGGGTGTAGTAGTGGGATCTGTAGTACTCGTGGTAATTCTGACAGAGAAAAACAGTTTGATGTCTTAATGTGACATTCCTATACATCGTTGCAAATCCTGGATTCAAGTGAACACAGATTTTGTGATGTTGGTAGTGTTAGGAATTTGGTTTTGTCCATGTAAAGTTGGTAAATACAAATCACAAATCAAGCATTAAACGTTATATTGCCACAATACTCATTAAATAGATAAATTACGTATTTCTGCTATTGATGTCAGTGATGCACATCGGTTCGTAAATTATAGTACATTGATGGAATGAAACTCGTACATCTTGATCCCCTGCCTTAAGATAATGAAACAGCCCCAATCAATAGTACAGGAAAGGACATCAGAGAATCAAGACATCTTCAGCCTGAGTGCGTCTTATCTGATCTCCTTCCTCCGACCTTCAAACATGTACCGATCAGATCTACAGCAAAGTTCCCTTTTGGCTGAGGCTGATGGAAACTCTAAGTGTCCACATCGATCTCCCGTTCATCGCGATAAGAGACGCCTCCCCGCCGGAGAATAGCTGACCTTTACATTTCAAACTGCGCTGACAGTGTAATCTACTTAACTAAACGCTCGGCGACGATGATGCCGCTATTGGTAAGCCGTGAGTAAAGGACACACGTAATTGAGGGCTGCGTGCTACCGGGGCATGATGAAGGGGCTTACTAATCAGAAACAGCCTGTGAACTACAGTTGAAATGTTGCTGTTCTCGGAGTAGCGGTAATGGGCATGGGGAGATGCGATCACAGCGCATTCCGCATCGATTTCAAACAGCTTTGAACATGAAAGACCACTTGGTTCTGTGAAATATTTGACCCGGCAAGATCAACGGTTCTCTTAGCGAGCCATTAACATTTGGGATTGTTTGAAGACTTGCCTTTTGCATCCAATGCACTATCAGGGCTGCGAATCTTGATTTTCAAAGTCCATTTTCTGGTCATTCTTTCATTGCAGTAATTTCAATCAATCCTATCCCTTGGCCTACTAATATTTACGAGGCAAAAATGCGATGTCACTGATAGGAAATGTTGCTTGGTATCATAGGCTGGTTTTAGCTATGTACGGGCAGTACCAAAAAACTAGGAGACACCTCAAGTAGCTTGTTTTCTAGCTATTTCAATACACAAGTATCAAATTAGAAGAAATGTCCTAAATATCAGTATCAGACAGATTTTCTTGTTCAAAATATTTTAGGCGCCCAGACATTGGGTTGGATGCCTATAAATTGTCGTCGCTTTCCTAACCTCTGTATAAGGTGAACTGTCATGCAATGTTGATTAAAATTACTATTGTAAATCCCCTGCTGGCAGCTACCTGGAAGTCCTGGAAGAAATCCAAAGCCAATTTGCTTGAATTCTTCGCCTGAGGAATATATATAAGCCTGTTTGCCTTTGACAGATCATAATGAAGGAAACTGGCAAATGCCCAATAATGCCCTACATGTCCGCAAACGTTGATCAGATAAAGCACTGAGGTATTTCAAAGTACTCAACGTTCAACCGCTCTCCACAGCTAGTCCGTGTAAAATCTGTCTACAGTATTTTCAAACGTGAAAAGCTATAAATGGCTATTCTAATATCGACTGACCTTTTCTGCTACCTGTTCTTTTGATCTCATCATTTTCGAAAACCCGTTTACCGTTTGTTCCGTTCCCAGAGGAGGGTTCTTCCTGACTCTTGGATTGAAACTGAACTGTTGACATTTGCAGACGACATCAGAGCCCTACAGGTCTCTCGAAAATCGATACTGGTGTAATTTGGTCTTTTGGAAAGTTGACCTCTGACCTATTACAAAGATGGACGCTTTAAGCATCAACCTAAGGCATTTTGAGTCAGGATAATGGGATCAGGACCTGCATATATGATCAGAAGAGCTCATCTTACTCAGTTAATCTTATTACTATCATTATGATCGCACCAATTCTTCAAACTTGGAATGACCAACACATTTGCGAACAACAGAAATACCGTAGAACAGAGAATACATGTCATGTCATGAAAAGAATGACGAAGAATATCTGACGGTTTGCCCACCTCGTCCAAAGCTGTTCTGTTGTAGTTATTACCAGTCCCCTGCGTCTGTCTGAGCGGTGCAGACTCTCCGCCGTTACGTCGTACTCTGACACCCGGCCTGACAGGGGAGAGAGCCGTGGTCTTCGGAATGTGCTTCTCTGTAATGGGAAATACAACAACTTGTTACAAGTAAGGACATGGCAAGTGTATCGTTTGGTATCACCTATCTCAACTCGTGCGAGGATAGAATTATTGAATCTCGCATATCAAAGAGAATATACGACCAGATTACTTTCAAACGTAGGGCCATGTTGTCACTTTTAATGTACTGTATTTCAACCAACACCAATACTGTTAATTATACAGATCCCTGGAAAAGGGGTACAGTAGTTCAACAGAAAAAGGGCAAGGCTTCGGCGTTTGAGTAAAGGCAAGAGATGTGTATATTTATATTTATGTAAGATATGCATTGGTGGGATAAAATATCTTTACAACTTTCGCCGTCATTTGACCTTCAAACGTGCGACCTGGATGAAAGAACCTCCGCACGTCATATCCTGTTACAGCTGGTTCTCCCTGAAACGGTACACATCCGCTTTTGTCATGTCCGTGCATTAGTGCTGTAGCCTTGACGGATAACGCGAGGTCTGATCCATTAGTGCCTGGTTACATTATCTCAAGGTCTAGATGTTTATGCGGTATCCGTTATCTTGTTACGACGGTTTTGTTGGAAGACAGACGAATATACCGTCACGCTAGCAGCTCCGCGAGTGATAAAATGCAGTGTAAAAGGAATGACATTTCTTTAAACACTGCCCTCGTTAACTACGATTCTCATCGTTGAGTGTTAGTCAGTGGTCGTTATTTTCCTACGCTTTCTCTTTAGGACTAGGGAACCAGGCCACGTTTTCATAAGATATTCTTTGCAACTTAATTTTGTTCTTTATAATCCCCAGGAGACTCTCATTATTCTTCCTCAACCAATGTCAGCAAGGTCTTTCTAACCGGATTCCAGCGTGACATTTTGCACCTTCTATTGATTTAGCAGGTTGTTCTCTCACCCCGGTGGCAGGCCGTATTCATGACTGTCGTGGAGCGTTAAGTAAAGTCGTGGCAAACGGTCAATGTTACATCTGTTTCTGTCAGCTTTCAATTCGTCACACGTCGGCGTCGTGCCAAGGTGCGATATTTAACAAGGGGGTCCTGTTGGAAATTTTATCTTGGGAGAATACACGCGTACAGTGGCGGTGAAAAATAATTTTAAATCAAAGACAGTATTCCCTTTCTATTCATTTTTTTCATGATTGATAATAGGTAGAAAATTCTATCATCTTAGACTTGATACCATTATGGAAAATCGAGTTTTATCCTCTAATATTCCTTCCAGTACATTGGAGATGGTGACATGTTTAAATCCACGAAGAAAGTACATTCTTTGTTTCACATTCTTTGTTTCACAGTAAATGGTCGACATATACTCTCTACATCCAGGCAGACACTTTTATTTTTTACAGTCGGACCTCTAGGCCCAGTCCTGCAGACAACTGTTTCATGTGATAGAGTGTCCTTTTGTTTAGAGTGACAGGAGCTATTAATAGCAGTCCCTGCCCATCGACTGCAGCTCGGGAATCTGGTTTACATGTCACCAGTTCTTGTAGGGAGTCATTTACTACAAGGTGGCCCGCCGCCCGGTACGTCTACTGTTTCACCAGCGCCGGTGATCCGCATTAATCAAGAGACAGGCTTGCCTTTCTATACAACAGTGATTATTCATAGAGCACTGGGTACAGACAAGCGAATAAATCCCTCAGCAACATTTTTAGAATACATCTGTTCTGGTTCATGCTAACTGAAACTTAATGACCTTATTTAATCAGCAGGGCAGTCGCACCCCAGTGCTCATTTGTCAGGGTGATGCTTTCATTCATTTTCACGATGGGAATTATTAATGGCTGTCATGTCGCGTTAGTTGAGGCCACATTCGATGATCTCTATCCTGTCGCTCTCAGTCAGTCAGTGTCTGTTATGTGGCAGCCTAGTGGAAAGCTTTTGTGGTATTCTATAAATATTAAAGAGATCATGACAAAAGTGTATCCCAATGAGGAAAATAAAAGGAAAAGAAGCTAAAACAAGCGTATGTAGAATGACTGGATTTGTTTGTTTTTAAACTTTGTAACAAAACTCCCACCCATAATTATCGTGAAGATCCAGTGGGGTTGTGCATAATGTACCCACAGTTATGTTCCCTTATGCAACTTTAATTTAGTACAGCCAGGATACAGGCAGAATTACTGTTATACCATTAGTCTTATCACTTCCTGTTGCCGTTACTTCACAGCTGTTGGCACCAGACTGCTTATTGAATACGTATGATATCGACCTCGTGTCCCTTCAGTGATATAAAACGCTGGTGTGTCCGCCTCCATGCACCTGTGCGTATACTTAACAAACCTCAAGTTTCCCCATTAATAATAAGGCTTAGCTGTACGTGTACTTTGTAATCAGGTGCGGTATAAAGATGACTTTGACCTTGATGCCCTCAGATCTGTATATGAATACAGATGCTTCCAATATTTGTGTTATTAATATCGTCCTACATGGTTACACACACACGCGCCTGTTTAATGTAACCCAGTTTATTCATGCCGCGTCACGCAGTTATTATTTTTTGCCAAAAGCTATTTCCGTTTTGTGCACCGAACCTTCAAGAAAACTTATTTTGTTAACTTTTGATCGTACACGAACATATACAAGGTACAATTAAGCAACTGCACACAAAAAATGCGTTTCATTATCGACCTTGTCGCTTCTAGCCTTCGTTTATTTATATCAGCTGCCACAGAAGCAGTCGGGAAATAGAAATCATATCGACCTTAATGTCAGCAGCTTTCGGCAAATTTACAACTGGACAAGGGAAACTAGCTGTTTGCCCGTGTAGGTACCAGATAGATGTACCCCCTAGTCTGACTACATGGAGAGGCGATCTATTTACTCTGCCATCAGTAGTCAACACGATAGCGAACCGCTCACGGAACCAATAGTAGGGCCTTTATAAATCAAACTGCATTGCACAACGATAGTATCTTGTGCAAGTTGTTGAGTAGTACTAAGTTACTGATATCTGTAGATGGCATGTGTGGTACGCTGTACAACTGTTGTGCAGTAAAGTTATCTATATCTACACCATTACCTATAACAACGCTAAGTACTTCTAAATAACTTTTGACTAAACATTCCGCTATTTTCATATGATTGGTACAATATCTATGAAGAATGCATAATGCACTATATACGATCAGCAACGATCTTGAAATTACTATGATTTTGGATTTCATAATACTAGTATCTTGCGTCGTCATCTTCGTTAACGGTCAGAAAACAAACTTATCATTTATCATAATTATCTAACACTAAAATCAATTATGGACAAGGTCGGTCAGATGTGCTTACATGATGACTGGATTTCAATGTTTGCTATTGGCTATGGAGGGACCTTGTCTAAACTTAATGTAACCGTCCCGCGATTAATATACTGAATATTGTCATAGTCAATATTTCTTCTAGACTAGATAGCAGTCCAGACGCATACGTTTTCGTCATATGCTCCAGTGACGTTAGTTATCTTCACGTCGCAGCTGCTGTCAGAAATGTTTCCTCTGTACGACTATCATGCCATTAGAGGCTTAGTAGGCTGTCAGATCTCCGTACAGTTGTTGATAACCACAGACAGACTGGCTGGCGAGACAGTCGGCTTTTCAACATCCTGTCTATCTTCACTGTTTACTGCACAACTTTATCTATGGACTTCTTCATGTTTCTGAATGTTCAGAAGTAAAACAACTTTTTAAAACATCATTTCAGTCACAGGAAAACAAATTTTAAAGCTGTTGATTGGAATAGTATACAGGTCTGTGATTATGTTCTTTTGTTACGTGTATCGGGCGTATGGCATCAAATCATTATAATAAAGACCCACCTCTATTTCTTCATTTATCTATCATAATTCAACTCGTGGTTTAAAGCATAGCTCTTCACATTCTACGTGCGGGTACGCAGAATTGTGGGGACTGTGGATTCGATGTGAGTTTTTTCAGCAATGCCAGCCCGGCTAACATCCTTGACATTGCGATGTTCTGCCCCAGGATTGCCACCGGAGCCCATTTATCCCTCGGTAGCCGCAACCAAAGCTCCAGGAGCGGAACGGTCCGGTGGCGATTGCTGGGTGTATGGACGCTTTATTGTATTCCGGCTATCTGTCTCATGGCTCTGTATGGTTGTCAGTAAACTTTCAGCTACTCTCTGGATACCAGACATTTTGAGCTTTAAAGATTTCGTGTACAGAACTTTTCCGTAATTCAATCAATACTGATCTTGTCCCTAGGTATACCGAGCTAGCTGAAGAATATTGTGGACCGAGATCTAAAATTACACAGCATTGCAATCCTACCATTCCCCATGCATATCTCCGGGTGGCCTAAGTTATAAGCCAAAGTCTGGAATGAGTAACGGTCTAATAGTGGTTGCTGAATGCGTAAGCAGACTCCTGATGTAAGTGTGTCTAGTGTCTCCTGTACCTGTCAGCTTCAGTTATCTACACGGTCCTTCGTGAAATCATGGAGAGTGGCTGACTAGACAGTCGAACTTTTCAAAACTATTCCGTCCAAAACTTTCACTTTACCATTGAATTCACATAACTGTACAGGTATATCGGCATCTACGTGTACAGTTTTTTCCTAAGGTTACTCACGACTATCTTTATCCCTTACAAACTGATTGATGTCCCGGTTCGTATCAGAACGTCCACTTTGGGCACCAAAGTCATTGCTAGAAAGCCGTTGTCTTTGCACAAGAACATGCCTTTGAGCGTGTTTTCGGATTCAACACCATAAAACTGACAAATGCCACGGTTTAAAACAGTACCTTCACATTTCCATATCATTATGGTCCACTTCACACAGCCTTGACATTGTAGGTCTGCCTCACAGTTTATCAATGTGCCCCCCAGGTGACTGTAGCCAAACCCACAAACCTGTAACTACTGGTCACGCATACTGAATCCGTCAAGAGGGCCACATGTCTTGTTTCCCTATCTTTTGCCATCATCCATTACCTGTAGGACGTACTCAGACACGCCGCATCACCGTTAGCCATGCCATTTCTACTTCTCCTTGCTTTTAGCGGCTGGCAGAAGACCAAATGTGAAAAGGGCTGGTATCGACCCGATGCCATCAGGTCTCTGCACATTAACACAACAAAGCGGCTGTGTGGTGCTGTGATGTCCGCCGGTATGTCCACTAGTTCCCTGGCAGC